GCAACGAGGTGAAGCCCCGAGGCAGCCCTCACGTGCCACCTGGAGCGGGAAGACAGGCAGCTGCCCAGGTTTAAATCCCCGTTTTAAGGCCATCTTACTGGGGTTGGCAGTGGAGCACTGCGCGCCCCACAGCTCCCACGGGGGCCCTTGTGCAGCCTGCAGSCCTCACCTCAAGCTGCACTACAGCSCCCTCCAACCTGCACTTCAACATCCACCTTCTCCAAGCACGGAAATCCCTGCTTGCTTTTTCACTGGACCGCAGTGAGCAAACACCACTGGTTTTATTCAGCATCACAGTTACTTGACATCTGTTTCTATTTCTAGAAAGAATTCATTAAAATACTCCTTAAAACTGTGCCTTGCGCTGCTGGTTTCGCACAGGCGGGACCTACCTGCCACGGGCAGCTCTAGGGGCTGCGCAGGCCCAAGCTCCTCACTTCCAAACACAAAATCCCTTCATTGGGTGTTGCAACGAGAGAAATTAACATTAAACACAGACTACGAAAGGTAAAGGATTTATTTCTGATATGATTCGTAGAGTTAAATTAAAAACCTACCGAATACTTTATGTAGTAGATGAACAGAACCTTAGTTATTTACTTTCTAACAGTTTAGCTAATGGCTGGAAGTGTACAACATGAAGTAGGCCTTAATAGTCTGCAATTTTGCTTATTATTAGATGAGATTAAAATACAGTAGCCRTCCCTTTGGGTTACGGTGCAACACTGATCATGTGCCTTGATAAGGAGGAACAATGATTCATTAAATAAATGGTGATGACATCACACGCAGGGAAGACTTTGGATTGTCTATTTAAAATGTCAACATAATAGGCAATTAAGAATAGAACTTCATTTTAAGTGCACTTCCACATGCTTTGTTTATAATATAGCAAAAACTTCCTATCTTTTTCTTTTCCAAACATTTCACTCGCTACTCTAAAGCTGTTCAGTTGAAAATGCACTTTCCCCAGTAAACTTTTTGTTTTAAAAAAACAGTAACTAAAGTTTCTACCCTCTGTTCCATACACTAAGAAATGTTTTCTAATTAAAAACACAATTTATTACAAGACATGTGAAGACAACATATAGTGAAATGAATTTTAATTGTTGTGCTGTGACTAAAGTAAAGTTCTCAAGGCTGCAGTTGAACATTCCAAGTTCTCCCTTCCATCTTTATTGATTCTTAAGATTTTGCACAGAAACTCTTTGGGGGCTAGAACAGCAGTAATTGCATCACACTGTTTTCCAAGACTTCAAGTTTCAAAAGCAAACTCTTCAAAAAAGTACAGTTCTTGATTGGATTAGATACAGGGACAAAAATATAGCACATACTTGAAGGTTACATGGTCTACAAATGATGGCAATATTTTCCTTGGGAGAGTACAGTTTGTTTTCTTGTAAATACTCAAAAAGGCTCAACTTCAAGCAGTAATAAACACAAGCAAAAGTGATTTAACCCTTAAAATAAATATTCAGGAAAACCTCTCTGTACATACAAGTGAAAGAATATGTAACACTTTCACGCTAAAAGAAAAAATAAAGAATTTGTTCATATAAGCAGCTGAAATCTGCTGTTCCAGCCCAATGTCCCCAGTAAAGAAGGGAGGCACAAACACAGGTGACTACTGTAGCTCACTATCTTATGGCCTTTTTGGACAGGGACATCATCATCATCATCATCACCATCATTTTTTTTTAATCCCTTTTGTTATATTCGTTTATTAGAGCATGCCAAAGCCCTTGGCATAMGTGATGGCCTTCAATAGCCTTTCTTTCAGCTTCTCTTTGCTCGAGTACTCCGGAAGCAAAAGGACATTAAAGCAGGTGTGAGATGTAGGTAACCTGGCGGGAAACAGAAGCAGGAGAGAAGGATTCAGTGCTGGGAACTTCAGCCCGTGCAGACACACACGTTGCCGTGCCACAAATCCGAGACAGCTCTCAGGCTTAACCTCGTTTAACAGAAGCAACAATTTGATTGATTTATTTTTTTGGTCCCCATTCACCAACAGGCAAGAGAAATGAAGGTGTTTACCTTTCCGTGTCTGGGCCATTTTTGGCTATGATCATCTTTAATTTCCCAAGTCCTCCCACGGGGGCTCTGTCTGTGCCTGTTGTAAACTGCAAGAACAGCCTTTTCTGCTCGTCCGTGAACGAATGGACTATTTCCCAAAATTCCCTAGTGAGGAGGAAAATACATAAGTAAATTGATGGTGCTTGGATAGAAACACGACTTTCAAAAATAACGGAACTCAAGTTTTGATCATTACTACTTAATTTTAATTAAATTTCATTAAGATTTAATCTTAACRTTAGGTCACAAGTGACATTTGTAAGAAGCAAAGGCAGCATTTGTAGTTACCAATCAACTGAGATGCAGAGGCAGAAGTCAAAAACGTTACCAAAACACACCAGTTAAACTGTGGTTTTTTTTTTAATACTTTAATTTGTTTAAGTGGTCAGCAAATATTCTTCCTTTATTTTGCATTAATTCCTCTGAAATTATCCTCTTTTTATTACACTGCCCATTTTCATTATCATAATTTTCTTTAAACCCCACAGTATCAGTCATTGTTAGCCCAAGTTAACATGTGCTTTTAAGAACCATGTTAAAAACAACAGCAACAACCACCAGCACCACCAAACCACCCTCAGACCACACTAGAACAAGCACACACGATGAATTCATTTAATGTTAGTAGAGAGTGATCACTAGGAAATAAAAGAGAATATTGGGGTAACTACAGGTAAACTAAACAGMGCCAGAGGTGCGAGATCTGCAGTGCAATAAATGAATTTTCTTATCCACAAGTCAGAAGAGAGCAGCAGAGCTTAAGGGGGGCTTTGCATTAGTGTGGCATCAAAAACACCCCCCTCAGCAGCTCACCAAGGCCCCCTGACGCCACCACTTCTGCCATCTCCTCACTATGGGAATTCCTGCCGTGGGAAAAACGAACCCTCTTCTGGTTYTGCAGCCCTGTTTTAACACTACGAAAAGCTGCCACAGGTTCTTACTGAAATGCTGGAGACAAACTGCAGGAAAAGCAGAAGAGGGGGCAAGGATTCCTTCCAGGAAAACGAAAACTAAAGACGGTGCCACCTGTCATAAACAGGATGGAAATTCCTGGATAGAGCAGGGCTGTGTATACAGAGGGACAGGGCTTAGAGCAGCAACGGGTACATGACCCACATGAATCACTATGAGCCTGGGGGTTCCTCTGCCCCTGCCTTCASATTAAAGGGGACAAAAAACTAACCTTTTCCCTCCGACAAAATGTGGGAACTGGTTCATTTTTAACTAAAAAAAAGGGCTATTTGAGGCACCTTCTTATTCTAACCTACACCTGAGCAGCTGCAGATGAAGCCCACTCGCAGGCCCACAGCCCGGGCAGGAGATGACTGGGGCTTTATGAGACTCAACAAGGGGCTTGGGCTGCTCCCTCTTCCCAACGCCAGCGTTTGAGCAAGGAGGAATTACAGAACTTGCACCTCCAGCACCTGGAAACACACAGAGCCCCCCAAATCACCGGGAGGAAAGGGGCACGCCAAGGACCTCAACCCTTGAGAAATCAGTCAATTCAGAAATCAATCAAACAATCAGGTTACCTAATAATGAGAGAGTCTCTTGTATAGCCACCATCATACTCTGTCGTTTCTTCTAGTGCTTGGAAGTCTAGATTCTGTAAGAAGACGACATTTTTAAAGCAATCACTAATTACACATTTAGGATCAAAAATGCTCCACTTTTTTTTTTTTTTTTTTTTTTTTTTTTTTTTTTTTTTTTCTGGTGTACTTTCAGGATTCTTACCCTACTTCCACAAATAAGTAATTCAATTTCCTCTGGTCTAAATAAATATTTCAAAGGAGATTCATTGGTCACCATGTGGAATCCTCTCCGAAAGGCCTTGAACTGCTTTTCTACTGATTTATTGAGTATATAGTCAGCATAGAGATTGACAAATTCCTGTAAGGAAACAACCCCAAAAAACCTTAGTACTTTAACACACACTCCCCTCCAAGCACCTCCCAATAATGCCAGCTCCAAAACCACATTTAATTTCAGTATTTTATTCAGATTATCAGGGCTGTGCTTCTACACAGCAACAGTCAAGAGGAAGTCCCAATGATTCCTCAAACAGGCCAAAAYATAAAACCCAACAGCCCCCATAACAAAAGTTACGCCTGCTGATAAGACACTGAAATATATGTGGTGCTATAGGTTTGCACCACCCCACATTGGCATCTTTAAAGATACAGCCAGACCTTTTTAAAATATATCAATATCTGCACATGTCTGTGCACACAGGGGCACGTATGTAGCTATGTATCTTTTTACACAAGTCTTTTCTGCTTATGACAGTTTTGAAGGTCTTATAATTTTTAAGTAAAACTAAACCCTTAAAGAATTCTAGGGAACCCTAATAAAGCATCTAAAATTACAGAACAAATGAAGCCACGTGCGTGTAAAGCACCTTACCTTTCTATTTTCATTTGTAATGGGAATTTTATCACCGTTTTCCTTTAGATCRTGCATCATTGGGTTGCCAAAGAGATCCGTATGAGAGATCTGAAAAGTTATCATCATGTCGTCCTCCACACTTCCTTCATACTCCAGCAGGTCTCTCAAGCTCTGGTAGAGAACCTAACAGAACAGAAAATATCTGTCACAAACAAAGCCCTCGATACCAGCGCTGAGTAACACCAGAAAACACAAAGCTCCAGAAAGGGTCATCACGTTCTGCGACTGCCACAACAGGCTGCAACGCGAGCCTTGGCACAACCGAGGACGCGGGATGGCTACGGACAGACATCCATAACATGAACCCTGGAAAGGCTCAGGATGAGGGGCAGCTCCCTCGGCCCGGCTACCTGCTCCCAGGACCCCTCCTAACCACAGCCTGGACTCTGGATTCAACCTGCCCTGGATAAACCCACCCCCACGATGCTGCACCAGCAGCTCCAACGTGGAGGGGTTACAAACCAAAGAAAATGCCCTCTTTTTTTCCCCTTCATATCATCCGCGGGGCAGGCAATCGACTTTTATGTCTCCCACATCTTGTTTTAAGAAAAAGCAGGGAAATCTTGGAGGGACATGGACGGGACAGTCATTAAAGACAGACAATCTCYGTGCACTGCAAGACAAAAGAAGTTACTACCTCCCAGTCCTGCTTTATAAAACAAGCAGAGGTTTAGGCCAGAAATTGCCAGAAGGATTTGAAATTGCTTCTAAGTTTGTTATATTTAAATCAAGTAAAACCATATATTTGTATTAATAAAATACGTATTTATTAATATAAATAAACTAAAAAATACACTTAAACATCCAGTTTTCCTCCTTCCCATGCCTGAAAAGCCCAAGGCTCTCTTGGAACCCGAGAACCACCCTGAGGACACARCTCTGCAGCACAGAGAGGTGCAGGACTCAAGAACACAAACCGAGGGCAAAAGAAAACTCAAGTGCAGTATTTTCAACAAGGAAGTGAACGAGAGAAACTTTCAATAATTAAAATATTCAGGGAGGACCCTCTCTCACCCTCTCACTCCCTGCAACTTTTCTAAGTTCTCACAGCACCTTTAAAAATATTTTGCATTGAAACTCACTGGATTGGGAGGCCCTGGCTAGTGAAGAAYGTTCAACACCCTCTCCTTCATGCTCATAGGAGTTACTGTCATACCCCATACCCCATACTTACCACCCCAGATTTCATGTTTGCTTTGAGAAGCTCTGCATTAAATATCTAAGTTATCTTAGAAAACCAGGAGTCTAAAAGCGGTGGCTTTAAAAGAAGTCAACAGGGGGGTCACAGTTGAAAAACTTAAGAATAATGGGGAAAAAAAAAAAAGAAAGAGCTGCTCTAACTGCCTTGTTGCACAGAAATAAATTTACTTGTTCCTTAATGAAAATTCTGAGCTTCGAATCGAAACAAGAAACTGGACACTTCATGTATTTCAATGTTATTTTTTTTACAGAGGAACTGGCCAGACTTGGTAATGCTGTTACATGTAGCCATCCAAAGCAGACTGAAGAACCTGAAGAACCTAAAGAACCTATTTTTTTTGATTGCACATGGTTAATTTTTTGACTAAGCAAGAACATGAGACTCTTTGGGAAGGACAGTATCATTCCACCCACCGCCCAAGATTTCACACTGCCCCTCACGGAGGGGGACCCCCATTCTGAAGCCCTKAACTCACACCAACCAGGATGACCAAAAGCTACCGGTGTCTTTAAGGATGGAGCAGCCCCAGGACATCTTGGGACAAACTTCTACACACAGAAATTAAACATATACAGCATATCCATGCATATAATCAATGTACACATACTACTTCTACCCATCCTCTTACTGGATAGATGCTTCATTTACTAAAGCACCATATCTATATCTATATATAACAAATATAATACATAATATATAGATATTGCTGTATTTACTAAAGCATACTTGGGGCTTAAGTGCTTTTCTATAGCCCCTTTTCTATGGAGAGGAAAAAAGATGGACACCAATCACTACTTCCAAATGGTAGGAATATTAGCAACTGCCTCTTGCCATTTTCACATATTCCCTATACATCCATTCTATGAGTCCATATGAACAGCAGCTTCATTTGAGAGGTCTGTTTCAAAAGGCACCAAGATACAAAGCACACCTAGCAGTTCATAAGAAACACGACAAGGGTTTGCTGACACCCAGGTTACTATCTGCTCGTTAGACAACACTGCTTTCTTCAAGCAGCAACTGCTTTCTAGTAGCAGATTCTGTTGCTTACCAGGTTATTTTAACAAATTTGACTGAAAAAAATGTCCATTTCAGACAGCAAACCTGTGTTTAACTTAATCCAGACCAAACTATTGCCTAGAGAAGTMCAGCAGGGACCAGAAAGACCGTAACGAACTCACGGGATGAGAGTCTGCCAGATCACGGAAAGTTCCTTTCTTGCCCATGAGCTTCCTGTAGACAACCATGGGAAAGTGAACGTCCAGGATGCAGTTATTGTAAATGGCCAGGCCCAGCACGATGCCAATCAGTGTAAACTGACCCTCCGTTTCAAAYGAGGACGGATTAAACCAAAACAGTTTCGTAGATTCATCGTACGTGAACATACCTGTGGAAAAAAAGAAAAGGTGAAGCTATAGATACCTTCCAATAAAGGCGACAAGCAAAGCAGCCCTAAAAGTGATTTCTGCATGAGAACGACCCTGACRCAGGTTGCAGTGAGACACACAGCACAGGAGCTCCTCGTGGCCTTCAGCTGCTCCCATTTCCCATTGGGAATGTGGAAAGCCCAAGGGCCGCTGTGAGRCAGCCTGCATTTTAATTTTGAGGAAAAAGCAGCACTGGGAACCACATGGAATATCCAGCTGGAAGTGCCTCAGCACCCCGTTGCAAGAGACCAGCTGCAGTCCTGCTTCTTAACAGGATGACAGGAGGATGGAGCAGGGATTAACCAGCACCTACAAACTCTAACCAGGTAGATGCCAACAGACTGTTAGAAACTGGATGAGGCCCCTGAACTGCTGCAGCACCCACGGATCTTAAGCAGAGGGGAAAACGCAGCACGTGGCAGCTGCTTTGCAGGAGAGGCTGCAAATCCAGGAGCGTGTCAGTGCTGAAGGGGGGCCTCTGCCAGCTCCCCCGGCTGCAGCAGCTGCGGGAAGGTAACTAACGCAGCGGGAAAAAGGGACTAGTTCCCTGCCAAGCCCAGAGCTGAGTTTGGAGTCAGCAGCCAAACTGGCACATGCAGAGAGCGGGAGGAAAGGAGAGGACAGCACCACGCAGACCTGAGGAGGGTAAAGTCTCCTGCACAGGCCATAAACCTGCTCTTGTTCTCARGATGGTTTTGCGGGCTGTGAACTGTTTGAAGCAGCGCCAAGGGAAAATCATTTGCTTATCTGACTGGACACCAAGCAAGCAAGGGAATACGGCGAGAGGGGCCCTGGGCACGCACGTGCCAGAGCAGCTTTTGCTAAATGAACGCGTTGATTCCTTTAATTGCTTTCCCTTTTGGGGAATCATCATTCCCTTTGGATGATGCCTGATGAAATGCTGAGCCTCACTGGGTCGATCACCCCTCATAACCGAGGAATTTGGGGAGCCTCTTGGGGGAAAAAGCAGCACATGAAGAAAGACACTGAAAGACACTTTAACATACCGATATCTGGATTGAAGATCTCTTCCACAACTAGTTGAAAAAATTCTTTGGAAACACCTCCTTCATCTACCCCTTGCTCTCCTTCAAATTCCACATACAGTTGCTTCTTCAAGTCTGCAGGATTCTCCATGGCAATCATCTCTAGCTATGGGGGGAACGGATAAAAGCATTTTGTTAGTGACTCTGCAGGAGTTAACGGAGGACCAAGAAGACTAAATCAAACCTACTCTCAAAACCCAAGGGAAAAAAAAAAAARRAARRAAAAAAAATAAATCTCAACTATGAGACATTGGGAACCAAAGCTTGAGCACTCTTAAGCACTTATTAGACTCTGAGGACTAATGCAGCAACAAACTTAATCAAAGATCTGGTCTGCCAATCATTAAGTCTGTTAGTGTCCTCCAATTTTGCTTGTTTTTTTTTTTTTTTTAAACACTTAATCACTTTAAACACTTTATAGTGTTTATAAATAGTATATTTATATATTTATAAATATATAATTTATAAAAAATTTATAAAGTGTCTATAAATAGTATAAATAAATAAGTGCTGTATTGGACAAACCACACAGAAAAAAGGAAATAAGACGTATTACTGGAATAACTAAATCCACATGAAAACAGAGAGGGAATGCAACTGGTACATGGTTCACAACTCATACTTCATTGGAAACCTTTATTTAACAGTTTACAGTGCAAGGCAAAAGACAAGATTTACAGCTCACTACCAAAGGGATGGAAACACAGAAGAAAAAGACACGGCAGTCAAATGGGTTCCCTTTTCTCTGAACCCTGGGGAAAAAGAAATTTCTTGCATTTATCTTTTCAGTCCCTTCACACAGAGCTACTACACTGCTTCCATGGGAGCACAGGCCAAGAAATCATCTTTCATAGGAAAGGGTCTGGTTTCCATACACAGCAGGTCTGGGTGGCTTTTCTCCCCAATTCCCCCAACTCYGTTCCCAGAAGCTCAGATAAAATCAGAAGTTGCTCAAGAACATTCTGCAGCTGCAGAAACGTGCAGCTTGGAAGCACAAGCAGGAAGGCGAGGGACACCCCTGCAACGTCACCTCCCACGTCAGACACCCCGATACAGGTGAGGCCGCCCAGCACCCGAGCTAGGGGACTTACCAGCTAGTGCCCTTAACACCAGCTCGACCCCTTTCTCTTTACCTCACCAGCCTACCCACATGCCCATACATGCAGTCTGAACAACCGATGTCTAAAGGACTTGGGGAGCAGAACAAAACGGAGCAAAAAGAAGGAAATAAAATATTGATGCTGCTAGTAAAATGGTGCCACTGCTGAGATGGGTCTTCTCCTGGTGGCTGCCAACCAGCCACTTCACACAGGCAGTGGGGGATAGGGATGGCTGGAGCAAATGAGGAAACCTCACCGGGCTCTGAAGCTCCTCGTGCRAAAGGAGCAAGGGAGGGGGAGAATCGTATTAGCTGCTACTGAAAACTGGTACCAGGATGAGAGACAATTTAACTTGAAAAATAAACAAATAAAATCACATGAACGAAAATGAAAACAAAAGAGCGTGCAAATTAGCAGATTAGCATATCTAAGAAGCTGCAGGGCTTTGTGCTACCCATAGCTGTCTGCCCAATACACATCCTTTGCAGCAAACTATTTTAACTCTTAAGGAGACTAATCAAGATCTGTTCTTGAAGATGTGCTGCATTTTGTGAACAGCACCTCTGCAAGAAAACCAGCCTGCAGCCCCCCCACCCTCACTCTGACAGCATGCAAGATATCCTCATCCCAAGAGATGGGGAAGATATCCTCATCCCAAGYTTAGGACAACCTCACTTTTAATCTTGCCTTTCGTGTGGATTTCTGATTACACATTTCACAAAGGTGTTTAAAAGAACGTACATTCCAGAAGCGCACGAGGAAGCTTGATCCTTGTTCTTTAATGAATGTTTTTAAAAACAGAGGAGTAATATCTATTTAAATACCATATGTGCAGGGTACTGGTATTGGTTAAAGCTGCACAGAAYCCTCCTGTCAGAATCTTTCCACTTAGGGCTGATACAGCCCATTTTCTTCCCATTCCTGAGACTAGGCTTCATAATCTTTACCAATTAACTATTTTGAAGGTTGTACAAATTCTGGTACATCCCGAAAGATCACGTATTGCCTGTGCATCTCCCTCAGGACAGCAACTCTCTGCCATAGTATTAAGGTTCTCCTGTATTAAAGCTATGCATTTGCATTAAGCAGAGTGCTCCTATTTTTAAAAAGTGTTTTAAACTATTTCAAAGTGATTTTTTTTTTTTGACGAAGCTGCTACACTGCAGTAATTGATGCAAAAGGTAAGTGGCCATAGACAAGGGGAAGGGAACACTTCACTGTGCACTGCTGGCTGGGTAGACTGGAAGACTGCAAGGAAATCAGTTAAGGGATTACCAAAAAGCCAGTATTTTGAGCCAAAGCGTGCTGCTGCTTCTTGATGCAGATCCTACAACCAAGACAGTGCTGCTAAGCTGCTCAGCTGAAGTCTGCAGCTGCTCCTCTGAATGTCTGTGTCTCCATACAGATGCTTAAGAATAGYTGAACTCCATGGAAGGCACAGTATTATTCCCGATACCAAACAGGGAGTGACTTTCAGCACTGCTTCAGCTCGCTTCCAAAGCAAAAAAACTGTGAGCCTCGATTTTAATAATTTGCTTCCCCCCAATCTTATTTATTTTTTTTTTACTAATTACCAGAGCAGCCTGGTAATCTCGTCCCAAAGATGCTGCCAGGTGGAAGCCCATCTACATTAACACAAATTCCTGCAGTTCAGAGGCTCGGGCRCTGGCTGCCGTGACGGTCTCACTGGCCAAGCACCCAAAGTCATCCTTAGGTTTTCCAASGCCAGTAACCTCCTTAAAACTGATCATAACTGAAATAATCTCTATTCAGTCATAGACATTAAAATGAGAGAGCGTTAATTAGGCTTTTGCAATGTAACACCGTGCTTGTCTCCACGACAGTGGTGGGGAAACACTTGGCACGTCAGGAGGCAGCAAGGTCACGAGCGCAGCTGCGTCTGGAAGCCCCAGTGACACCTCAGGACATGTCCTGGTCACTGCATCTTGTACAGACTGCCACGCACAGGAGTGCCCTGAAGAAGGGCGACCAAGAAACAAACCCTCCCAAGTGCTGCTCCTAGAGAGGAAATAATGCGGATAAACTGCAAAAGAGGAGTAAAATCAGCAGAAGAGCATGAAAGAAACAGCCTTTAGAGGATGAAACAGAGCGGATCAGGATAGGGGATCTGGGGATAAGTTTCATTTCATGTTATCATGTCCCCACACAGATGCACAGCAGCAGCACAGCTCATTTTCTGAGCAGAAACCCTGTAGACAGAGGCAGGCTACCCGCTCCCCAGGACTGCAAACCACCCCTGCTGCCAATCTGCAAATTTAAGAGTTATAAGAGAAGGAAGGATTAACACTTTTCACCTCTCAACTTTTCAAACCAACACACATACAAGTAGGTATATAATACAGGAAAGAATATTAGGTCTATGGTAATACACAGCAATTAAGTTTCTCATAGCATGCATACAAAGACACCAAACTGAATCTGTAAATGAAAGTTTTGCTCAACTCATAATGAAAATTATGACTTTTTCTTACTAACAGCTCTTAACAATTATTTAAAAGGTTTTACTTCAAGCTCCCCATACTACAGGAGAAAAACCTCTAGTGCAATAAAAGCACTTGCCAGTGCTCAGATTTGTTATAATGAAGTAGTCTCAAAAGAAGGCATACATATTCTAAGAGTTTGAATATTTAAAGTACTACTGATAGCTTAATGAGTTGGACTGAATAGCAGAGGAAGATCAGAACTTCACCCATTTGCAAAGACAAATCCCTAATACCTTTCAAGCAAATACATGGATCATCTGTATCTAGCTTCAATACAAAAATAGGCTTAAGGGCACCTCACCTTCATTTTACCCCATGTTTTGGGGACTGCTTTTAGCAGGCAATTGCCAGAGTTAATGTGTATATACAGTCAAACACGGCTGCAGCGAGCATCCTCCAGAAACACAGGTCTRGGGGGTAATTTCATATTCACCTCACAATTCAAACCACCCTGTTAGTATTCAGATCAAGAGCTTCACAAAGCGCAGGCCTCTGATGTTAAAATTGCAATGCCTCAGAGTAAAATAGCAGACACATTACTTACCTGTAATTGAAACATATTTAGGAATTACTTTGACAGTGAGCAGATCTAACAAGATGCTTTTACAAGTGACAAAGTTGCCTTGCCAGGATCTTTTTAATGGCTTTCAGAGGCCTTTCCCAGGTTCAATACCCCATCCAAGGCTGCAATGGCCATTGCTGCAGCTTTGCTACTGAAGCACGTGCTCCCTGCCTTAAATAACTTCCCAAATCTGGATGTTCCCTGAACTAGGAAAGGGTGTGAGAACAACTTAAGTTGCCTCAGAAAGAGCCTCCTGACCTGCAGTTCCAGTTTTGACTGCAGCTAGAGATACCACATCTTGGAGGAGAGTTTCTGATGCAGGGGCTGGGATGCAGGGGCTGGGATGCAGAACTGAGGCTTCCTTCAGACCTGCCTCACACCTGCTAGGAGGTGAAAGCAAACTGCAAAGGCTGCCAAAAGCCACTTCCAGTTTGCCACAGGAAGGCCCTTTAACAGCAGTACAGAACTCCAACAGATTTATCGAATAGATTCAGGTGCCATTGTTGGAAAATAATAATAATAATAATAGTAATAATAATAATAATAATAAATATCATTATTTTCCCGGTGTATTTTTCCAGCACACCGCCCCCTTAGCACCTTCCTGAGGGGTGTTGATGGGCCACAACCAGATGCTTGCATCTAACAGTTCCCACTGAACTCCCTTGCTCAAGCATTACACTTTCTGGGGAGCAAACCCCTCTCAAACCGCTCCCCTCCTCCAGCCAGGTCAGCAAGTCTCCGTTTTCTTGGATACAATCTCTGTTCTGCTTTTGTGGACAGTGCCCGGCCTGCGCTTGTTCTCACCACAACAATTCAGCTCAGATTGCTCGCATTTAGCTCAAATTTATCTTTATCTTCTGTCTCGGAATAAACAGTTTAAAATCCCTGCTCTCCACGGGGTTTTGACAGAGTCAGGTCACTGTAATTTAACATGTTCTGGCAGCTGAGCTAAACAGCCATAAAAAAATAAATAATCTATGGTRACTGCCCAGACAGGTCCTTGTAGGCTGCTGGCCTGTGCCAGGCTGCTGCAAATGCATCTCAGTTTAAATTAACATGCTAGAGTTTAGGCTGATGGGATTTAAATTACCTGCCTTGCCCACAGACCAAGAACACTGGAAGTGGGGATGCCCAGGCCAGCTCAAACACAGAACTAACTAGAGCCGTTTGCTGCAGCACCTCCTGCTTGCTCCTCCGAGGTCYCAAGGCCCTTCCACAACAAGCAGGAAGCAGAGTCCCTTTTCTCACAGCTGTGGGYATTCTTTGTTACCCTGACCATAAGGAAGAAGGTGCACTTCCTCACTGCTGGAATGGACGTGTAAAAGACCTCTCTGATCTTACCCTTTTTCAGCTTTTCCTCCCCTAAAGCAGCAGTACTTTTCTCTCCTGTTTTTTTTTTTTTTTTTTTTTTCCTCAAATTTGAAAAGCAAATTGAGTCAAATAAATTCCCTTTACACTTGGGTCACGTTAATGTAAACGAAATTTACTGGGACACAGCTATATGCCACAGAGGCTGCAAAACTACAAGGGACATGAAGTAATGGTACAAAGTAGGGCTTAACTTTAGAACAACATGGTTGATTTGTCTGATCTAGCAACTGATTTTATAGACAACAGCCATTTCTACACTGCAATTCTTTTGCTGTTGCTGCCTGACACAAAGCTTTTCCTTAAATCCTATCAGCAACTCCCAAGAAGCAGCTAGCTAGACCCTCTGAAAATTAAAATGTCCCCACCAAAATCAAACTGGGGGCCCCTTTAAGGCCCTCCCTRTTGGCCTTCTACAGCTGCTGGAAAGGTAAAAGTTAACTGCAGGGAACAGCTGGATTGATGGTGCTGCTGCTAAGGCCTCTCCAAACACGCAATCTGACAGGCTATTCAACAACAAGCCTCAAATACGAGTTTAATTTAAGAATCTGTAAACTCCGTTTTACTTAATAACGGAAGAYGCAATTATAAACTCTAAAGAAATAACAGCTGTGTAAGCAAAAACTAAGAAAGGAAGAAAGATTAGGAAATTAAAGGATATATTTAAGGAAAAGAAGTTTACCATGAAGTATTTTTTGTAGATAGAATCCCATCTCCCAAAAAGGTATCAACAAATGGCTTTTATTTTTGGCTTTACTTTAAGATGCCAGCATAGAGACAGGCTGGTGCCACAATTCTTAGGTACCAACAGGTCTTACCTCCTTATTCTCAGCCACCAACAGGTCTTACTTCCGTATTCTCACCAATAACATTATTTACACAGAATTGCAACAACATTCGGAGAAATAAGAATCATCCTCTACTTATGTTGTCGTCACTCCAAGACTGTTATATCCAGACTTTTTGATGCCCACCAGAAACCACAACTGAACTTTCACCTGAAACCKGCCCCGTTCCTAGGCCCGGACCACGATCCAGGACAGCCACGGAAACCAAGGTACCGGTACAAAGCTTGGCCCAACTCTGGGGAAAYCCAACACACAAAAGGCTCGATCCTCAACCCTTTTTTACCCCGGCAGTGTCATCTGCAGGTGCCAAACCCAAACGCTGAAGCTCTGTGTTGCTGGAGGACTTACCCGGACGAGGGCATCATCGATGATGTGGTCACGCCGCACTTTGAGTCGCAGATAGGGGTTGAGCTGCTGTCCTTGCACCAGGCTGTAGAGCACCGTTATGCGCCGCTCACTGTACATCCGGATCCTGTTGTCGTAGTACAAGCCCAGGTTCTTGGTAACAGCATTCAATATGAAGGGACAGGTCATAAAAGAGAACTTGTTTTCTGTTTCTACTTTGAAGAAAGTGTAATCCTTGTCCATTTCTAGAACATCATTCAGTGGTTCATTAATAAATTCTTCAAAAGGGATAAGTGGTTTTCTGCAATCTATAGTTTTAACACCAAGTTCAGTTTCCAGGGGGTCCACTCGAGGCCCTTTTTTATTCCGTCTTTCCTCACCCAACAGTTCTTGAATCGTCAGTTCACTGGATTCTGGGATGGGCTCTTCGTCTTCCTCTTCGTTGTGATCCGTATCCACATCCCCTCCTACTACATTTGCATAGTAAACCATTTTCAAGCACTTTGAAGCAGCAACAACAGCGTCATCATCATTCACTAGGTTACGACTATTGAACTCATTGCTTATGACTTTGTAAGTGATAAGCTGCTGAAACGTCTCCATCATTCTCCGAATCTGGTCTGCTCTGTATTTAGACCATAATCTGACCAGTTTTGCTTGGGCTGCTAGGGGCAGCTTGCTCATGGCTTTGCAAAACAAGGGCAGAGCCATTTCCAGGTATTCTGGGCTATGAAGATTGCCATTCTCCATAACAATAATAAACAAATTCAGATAGTTAGGATCCCGAGAGTACACATTATGATAAGTCAAGTCACATTCCACATTAGGTGACAAGTACACAAGTGCATTTAAAAAGGCAGTTTCTATTTTTTCATTAGAAAGTAATCTATCATAGACCCGCCTGACTGCTTCAATATCTACAGACACTTCATCGGGGCCTAGTTTTTGGAGGTTGTTATCTCCCTGCGTGTTATCACCTATTCTTGATGACGATGATGACGATGACGACGCGCCTGAATCTTCTTCCATAGCAGCAGCTGAACAGGCAGCCTTTTCCTTTTCATCTTCATCTTTATCTTCATCCTTTCCTTGAAGAGACTTAAGTTCTTCCTTGGTGTGCTGTTTGGCTTTCCGGAAACTCTGTACCAATGCTTCAGCACTAGAAAATACTCTCCCAATCACTCGGATTAARGGGGAATAATCCTCTTTCTCTCGACATAGTTCAAGAATTTCATAGATCTTTTCTTCTGTTAGAAAAGTCACATCTACAAAATTAAAAAGAAAAATAGCATTTCTAACTAATCAGGAATCTGCATTGCACATTATCATTAGCACTTGGGAAAAAGGCAGTGTCAGTGCTTGATAAATTGAAAATAGATATACTTCGTAATTCCATTAAACCCTATTAGTGATTTCATTCATTATGATTTAGTCYAACATTTTCTTCATGGATGTCAATGACAGAACCAGCTGCACTAGAAAACTATCAGCCTATTACCTACATTTAGTTGTGTTTAATAAAATTGCCTTGCCTAAACAAGACCAATTAAAACATCAGGATGTTTAAGCCTTAAGACACTGGACAGATAAACCTGCGTGACAGAGTACCAATGCTTATCATGTCTGCACAATTAATGCACAGGTCATTAAGTGATACCCTCAACTGTATTGTATCCCAACTAAACTGTACCAACGTCTTCCATGTTCATGCTTATACCAATGCTTCCCCGCCGCTCCCCACCGCCAGCAAACCTTGAGGAAAAGACCCAGTAAGTTGTTTTGCTCTGTATTAATGGGAGGATACTTTATTAAAAAAAAAAAAATCATTTTTAAAACTTTCTGCAACAGTTTTCATACTAACCTGAGGAGTGGCTCCCCAAAACACGACACATGCTCAGAAGCTCACGGGACCTTTGGAAGAGCGGACGCTCTTGAAGGAGKGAACACTGCTTGCAACTTTCTACGCTAATCCTTAATCCTTAACCACAAAGGTTTTCACATCAGGTGTATGCTTGACTCCCAGTGCTACCAGCAGAATTAACAGGACGACTACCAATTTTATTTTTCCTTTATATCTTAATTTTGCYATATATTCTTCAGTACTCCAAAACACTTGTTCTAGGGCAACCCAGGGTTCTGGTGTAGCTGCTCAGAGGCTGCCAGCCCCAATCCTTGCAATAGTTTCTCTACAGCCGTGAAGACCCACGTCACAGGACTTCATCTCTAGTCAACACTAGGGCAACCACCTCTGGGAGAGCTGTGGCCACGCTGCTTTAATGGTGAAGACGGTCTTTACTAAAAAATGTTTGAAGAGAGATACTTCAAACATTTGTTAGCCTACACTAACATTTACTCCAAGCAGGCATTAGGTTAAAATTACAAACCTGATGGCATCAAGAAAGGCAATCTGTTGATTTCTGCAGAGCACCTAAACGTTCTTAGAGCACGTAAGAAAAATTAAGCTTAATGTCAGGGTATCTGGAGGGACTTCAGCATGACAACAGTAAAAAAGTTTCAAAACTAAGATCTGTTTTTTAAAAAAAGCAATARTAAAAATACTATGAAGTACCACAGCTACCCTTTCTTTGCTGCAGCACACATGCAGGTAGCACACTGAAAATTAACAGAAATTTAAGAGCTGCTGCAGATAGTGCTGCATGCCACAGCTCCTCGAAACGATGMTCACAGCCCAATGTCACTGTCCCCACTTTTCAAATTACACACATTTCAAATCCCCGTACTTCTAACAGGAATTCCCCTATCGTTTTTGCACAGTTCTACTGTTTAAGGCACAAAGCATGCGCTGCTTCCAGTTAAAATACCGTTTAATTGACAGTTTTATACCAGTTCTAAGTCATGTCATGTGCCCATATCTACTGACCTGCCATAACAGTCCTCTCCATTTTTATGTTCTAATCACGATCAACATCCAATACAGTTTTATCAGGTACTGATTAACTGGAGAATAAACCAAATATACAAAGCTTCCTTCTCTCTCAAGTCAATTATTGGCTGATGTATGTCTGAATTTGTGAGCTTTACAAACTTTCTTCCTTCTCACTCCTCCTATTGCAACTAGCTGATCCACCCAAGCAAACATGGATTTTCTCTCAAGCCTTGTTGTGGTACTCCATGACAAATCTGCATGTGGAATCAAGCTTCATCAGTGATCCAAGGGTAGTTACTTTTCAATTTCACCGAGTTTTCTCAYTCCAATTAAGAGATATTAATTATCTTCTAATCTTTTGGGGAAGTTTTGTCAYGTATATCTACTCACTGCCTGACCACTGACCTTTCTGTTCCTGCTTTAAGTGTTAACAGTTGGGAGAGAGCTTTCCTTACTAATGATGATACTGATTTTTGAAATGGTAATAGATACAAAATGGAATTTCTAACCCAGGCTTTTTACAAATTTGTAGGTTTTGTGATATTTTTTCCTTTTCAACTGTTCCGTAAAAAACGTTACTCAGATGCTGACAAGTGTCTCCAGATACATCACTCCTAACTGGAAACAGTTTAAGGGCTTAACACTACAAGTGTAATTTAAATATTTCTTTCTAAAGGGCTCYTCTTTCAATTTACTGAAAACTATCATTCTATGGAAGACATAAAAGCCAAGTGTATACACTTTTCCTCGACTTTCTTGAATTCCATTGCACTTTTCCCAGCAACTGGGATTGCAGAAGGATCATTAAGGAATTCTAGCATGTCAGATTCCAAAGGTAACTAAGAATCTCACGTGAGCTTTAAGAACCCATTAATGCTCTGTGGCCATTCAGCTACCAAGACAGGTCAATACTTGGGATTCCGCAACAGGCAAAGTCTGAGTCACTGCTTTAGATAACAGACAGTCTCTGGAGACAGATCAAAAAGACTGTTAGATATCCATCTTGAGGAGGAAGGATGGTAGGATAGGGGAAAAAAAATCTTACATTATACACACCTCCATTAAAAAAAAACATGCAAAAAATTAAGAGACAAACATCTATCAAAACCAGAGACCTACAGTGCAGTTAGTCTGGKAGGAGACACACGATGCCTTCTTCCCTTCCACTTACTCAGATCATAAACTATTTGGGGAAAGTCTATTGTTTGCATCAGATAAAGAACAAACGGTATTGACTGGGGCCTCTTACTCCTTGCACAGTGCAAGCAGGGCAATGTTTTATTGCTGATTCTGGAAGCCTTTTTATTCTTTTCTAAAAATGGTTTCACCTTTCCTGGATGAATCAATGAATTTGAACTTTGAATTTGAAGTCCTATTTCCTCTCTCTCTGCCCCACCAAATCTGCTTCCCAAGCCTACCATCCACTGCATCACATTTCCTTTCTCTGTTAGGCTTTTGAACACAAAAATGGGAATTAGTCAAGCAAAATACAACTTCTACAGAGAAATTATGAAAAAAGGCAGATTAACAAAACTAAAATAAACATACAATAAAAATGTTCTTTAAAAAAAACATATTTACAGAAGCAGCAATCTCAGGAGGTACCAGATGCATACACATGTCATCACTGAGGTGGTAAAGATGGGGAATTGAAAGCAGTGAGATGCACTGAGTCGTTTTTCAACATTTGCTATCAAATATTTACAGATGAAATACTGTACTGTAATTAAATGCTGCCAAAACACCACCACAATGAAAACAGAGGCTTATAATTGTGCATATTAAATGTATTCTATCTTATGAAGATTCTAGAAGAGTCTCTTACCTTTAAAGTCATCTCGTGGGCCTTGCATTTCCTTCTTGTTCATTTTTCTGTCTGAGCAGGAATTGTTATGGGCACCTTTGGAATTGTTTTCTAGGTAAGCTGAGCTCGTTCCTTTCTTGGAGGGATGAGGATCACAGAGTTTTGCATTAATCTTATAAAGCTCGAGGGCCTTAATGGCTGCTGCATTGTTATCCATACGGAGAAAAGTTGGACAGGAAGCACAAAATTCATTCGTGCAGGCTTCATTTCCACAGCCCTCAGTTAACTGGTGGTAGTAGCGCTCTATTAGATGCTTTGCAGCTGCTCGCTTCCTGTAGCAAACATTCAAACAGTGAGTACATGGATTAGTAAGGGCTTTTACATACAAAGCTCAGTCCAAAGCATCAGCAAGGCAGAGATTAGTCAGGCACTGAAACACAAGATTTCTGAATCAGCCGGGCCACATCAGGGAATTTTTTTAAATGGAGGATTCTCATCTTGACGAACGCAAGTAGATTCACTCAACACCACTTCACTTGCGGGTCAGATGTAAAYGAAGACCTGTTTGTGGGCAGTATTCAGCTCTACGTTTTAGTGGATACGTTCGTGTTCAGTTCTGAACAACCTCAGTTGTCACTGAAAAGTGATTCAGCTGCAAAGCAAGGCTGAGAGTAACACAGAACCGGATCCTGTGCAGGTAACTGGAGTCTTTGATACATAGTACTGAGGTACAGTTGCTGCTGCCMGAGGGAAGATACAGGCAGGTGTCTAGCAAAACTATCACCAGCACATCAGGGTTAGTACAAGCCTCCAGACAACCTGGGCCATGTGATACTTATTTTGCTATTTAATCAAGACAGGAAAAAAAAAAGTGTTCTTTGGTTAATTACACTATTAACATAACCATAATTAAAGATATCCTCAAGGCTGAATAATCTCACCTTGCTTTAATAAGGTATATGGTTCTTTTAAAGAAAAGTTTTGCCAAATCCTCCCCTTTCTCCCATGATTATACCTAACATACATATTTTTGAAAGTTACAACTGTATCTCCGAGTATTTCAATGTGCTCAGTACTATATATAAACAAAGAAAAAAAGTCAAGCTGGGCAACTAATAAAGCCATATACCTATAAAGAAACATGCCAATGTTAACGAACTTAGCTGAARGCTGATGATAATTAGGACAGAAGAAAGCCTCAGGCAGCACCAAGAGCATTGCATTTCATCACGTTTTGAAAAGAAACCTGAAAACCTCCACTTCATTTAGGAAAACTAGCCATTAATGGAAAATATCAATTACGAAACAACATTATTAACATTCTGATTAGGTGGGACACCTACCCCTCATGCTCAATTTTAGATCAAGAACACGGGAAGCAAGATTTTCATGAGCCCTTGCGACCATTAACTCAAACGCTGCCTCTTGCAGAGGCTGGGGCGCATACAGGCTACRAGAAGGCGCAGCTGAAGCACGAGGCCCTCGGGAGCTGCTCGGCCCTCGCTGCCACCAGCTGCCAGCAAGGGCTGRTTACGCAGCAGAGCTTCAGTGCAGCTGCTCGAGAAGGGCCAGCGTCCTCAGGTGKGAGAGCAGCTCTGCTGAGGGGCGCACTGCCCAGCAAGAGCACCTCGCTCCCTTTTCTTTCACCCCTCAAGATCCCATGATCCTAGAGAAGAAAGATTTCATACAAAGAAAACTACCTCCTATGTGATTTTCCAAGCGCCCTGCTGAGCTTCAAGATAAAATAGACTAGAGAGTCCTGAAACCTCTAGCCCGAGTTGGAAGACGATGAAAAACAGGGGCAGCACCAACAATATCAAGTAATCGAGTAATGAGAACAAACACTGCATAGACAAGTAACAGCTGCATTCTGATCTATATTATGATCAAGCCTACACAGTTTTTAAATATGGACTTAGGAAAATCTGCCTTGCTCTAAGAAATGTGTGTACATATATATATTATATATATATATGTGTGTGTGTGCACGTGTGTACTGATTTTAATCTCTTTCATATTGCAGCTTTTAGAAGAGAAGTTTAAAGAAACAGAATTGCTTTCCTACAGTTTAAGCACCTGATTTCACAGACACCTTTTTTTGGAATGCCAGCATTTTATGCTGATGATTCTCTCAATTATTCTAGACCTTCAGATTTAAAGGGCAGAATATTATTACCTGTAAACAGAGATGTATATCAAGTTAAACTATTTTTTTCGCATTCACACTGAATTTCTACACCTGAGCTAAGGCCCTAAGTCTCACCAACATGCTCCTTGTTTGCTCTTCTTGCAAAATACACATGATTTCAGCATCTCTGTGACAGGTCCTTCCAGCTCAGCTCGAAGCTTACTGTCCCTTTAATTTCTGTCATCCTAGTCACTATTTTCCCCAGTGCCTACAAAATGACAGTTACTTCATACTTGTATCATCACTTTAACCTTAGCCTTCTGCATCACTTTTTCCTTCCACCTTCTCTCTTTACTGCAGTCTAAATGCAAGTCTCAAGATCTTTGCTATAATCTTGGATTTTAAATGATCTGTGCCATATATCTATGCATGACAATTTCTCATGATTAAGAAATTTATATTTAGGATAGTTAAAGCAGCTGAAGTTACTTAGGTTAAATATATGTTGTAAGGCGACCAATTCCCTAAACACAAAGAAGGGAGCTCACCAGCTTGCACACTAGAGGAACTGCTGGACACATGCATATCCCTCTGGTTTATATCTAATCTGCTTTCAATCAAGTAATTCCAGTGCATAAACATATTTTGATAATGCATATATATTAAACAACACTCCATTACAAGCTGGATATTTGAAGTTGTGGTTGTCAAATCTAGGCTTAGAGCTGTCACCCTCTCTAACAGTTGACTTCTAAGGGACTCATCCTTTTCTTCCATATACACCACGATGGAAGAAGTACAGTTAAGTATTAATGAAAATAAAATCTTTTTGTAGGAAGAATTATTAAAACCAGTTCTGTGTAAGTGTGATTTATTATAAGACCCCATCACAAAAAAATCACTCTGAAATAGAGAGAAGGGAGAAAAACAAACCCCAACAGTTGTGCTACAATCACTGTAACTGAGCTAGTGCATATCTAGCAGCCTGTTGCAGATCTATTTACACACGTGTGGCTCTTTTGCCTCCGTTTGCTGTACGTATTTGCTGTAAGTACATTTTACCTGAACTAGTACTTAGAATGGCTAAAGGCATCCTTGTTTTAATCTTAATTAACCATTTTAAACATTTTAAGTTGTTTTAATTGAGTTTAATTACTTCATATTTTTAACTGCAACGCGGCCAAAACTGTGGGGCATCGCTAGAAGAATCGACCACTGGGCCTCTTCCTTTCTTTTTATCTATTTAAAAGTGTATTGAGTTGTAAGTAACTTTTGGATGTCTAAACCAAGCTAAGAAATTCTGTGCTTCATCTAGCAATTCRAAAGTTGCTGTGCAACAGCACCTAACTTGCATTTCTAAAGTATGTTAAATATGCAGAAATACTACATAAAACATACTACAGAGAAAATCAGAAATTTAAACATTTACGAGATTTCAGAGAAATATGAAGTACCTGCTTCTTTACATTTCAACTGCAACAGATTTAAAACTTAGATGAAATTATATCTGATGTTAAATATACCTGTATATTTGTATACCTGTATACAYGCCAACTTTCAGTTTACCTAAATTTTAGGAAGAGCATGAAGAATTCATGGCTGTCTAGGAATATGAGCATTAAAAGAAGCAAAACATCAGATGTTTCTGAGCAGTTCCTACCTGGGACAAACTTGGGAAGTCTTACGTATGATTTCTACACAGAATTCTCACACTGCTCCGAGATGCTCAGTATTAATAAATGAATAATTTAAAATGGACCGTTTTAATATATCCATTAGAAATTAAAATGTGCCAATATGTTTATAAGCTGTTTTCTTTAAGGCCAAAAAAAGTAATAATAGAAAACAAACATACTACTGGAATAGTCCAAAAAAATGAAAACCAGTAATGTTTATGAAAATGAAAGTACTAGGGTTCATCTTCTGGGTAGTAATAGGGAGAATATAGATATATTTTTAAATACTAATAACAAAACAACTGTCAGTATATGCCTTAACAGCCGAGCACACGAAGCGACGCACACAGCTGCAACAACTGTGCGGTCCTTCAGGAGCTGAAACCGCCAGCAGGCCGAGAGCAGCCCAGCGCCCCACACGGGGCTTACGAGKGGACATCTCTGCGGATCCCAGCGTCGCTTCCCGAGCTGCGGTTCCGGCCTCCGCACGGAGGTTTCCATGCGGCCCGGGGGGCTCCTTGGGCACCTGCACTGGGCTCCTGCGCCGCACGGGGCCCTACGGCCAGGCCCAGCCCCACGGCGCCTTCGCCCGGGGCYGCCCCACAGGCCCCTCTGCCACCCACTGCATGACAGGGTACCGATAAACTGAGAGGGCAACGGGCTCTTTATCCTGGTCTCTCCAAGCAAGCAGCTCCGGGAAGAGCGCCCTTCCTCCCCTCTATCTCCATGCTCCCGTCAAAGCAAGGAATCACCGGCATTACTGACACAAAGGCGTCAAAAATCTCGTTTTGGAGAAACTCAGCTTATTAGTTAGCGGTCCACAAATATAAATGGCAAGGAACGTGGGCATATTACAATATTTTAGCATGTTTTAGAAGGCTATACTCAAGTTCATAGTGCCTTCTGAAAAGGCAAGGAGAAAGACAGCCTTAATAAACAAACATATACCTATTTTAAGAAAAAGCTACRAAGTAATGTTCTCAATTACTGTTGGAGTAAATTCAGTAATAAGCTTAAGAAAWTATAAGCTGATAATTAGTCCTATTTTGCTTGAGCACATTTGTCAATGTTAATATTTTAAAGAAGAAAATCCTCAATCAGCTGTGAAGCTTGCAAAGAATGACGATGACTAACTGGTAAAAAACCCCACAAGATATTCTACATTTCTAAACATTTTAAGATYACTAAGCTAAAAGCCCTAAACTCTAATACTCTGCAATAATGCCAATATCACAATAATACCAATCCACCTGTGTCTCCTTGGAAAGAAACGGAACAATGCTTGCCCAGGAATTTCACATAATTGCTGGAGCTACTCAATCTGACCATCTTACACCCAGGACAAAACAAACTACGATGTTTTAATTAACTATTATGTAAAACACATATTGTATGCCAGCTTCCATGTTTTTTCCTAGGATTAAAACAAGTCCTACCACTCTGGTCAGCGCAATTACGGAAACTAAACTCCACACACTGAGCAAGCTTAAATTGGCAGTATCCATACATTGCATTCCTACCCGTAGTGCTAAAGAGAGACTGTCATGTCACTGTGGTGACAGCATTAAGAGTACCACAGTATTAACCTGGAGACACGGACACTCTGTCTGCCTCTGGACCACAGGAGCGTTCCAGGGGAAAGCACGACGAAGATGACAGTGCTCCTGGGAAAAGGAGAATTGCTGGTTTATGAAGAGCACTGACCATTGAAACATGTAAGGAAGTCCTGCAGAAAAGAAGCCTAAATGTTGACTCCAAACTCTTTTTTATAAGCCAGGTTTCCACGGCTACATTCTTCTGCTGTGCCTCCATTCCTTATGACACTGCCCTAGAAGCATGACCATGGTTACGCAGAGACGCTGCCCGTGAGTCACACGGGCTCGGAAGCATCCCAGCCTCCAGTGTGGGAACAGTCTACACCTGTGGATTGAACAGCTTGGGGTAGAACTACTCCCACACTAACCAGCTTGTTTTTAATAATTTGGGCAAAATTTGGTTTGGTAAAATTACAGTATTCTCCAAACTCGGTGGGAACTGAGGTCTTGAAACACCTGACTCTCGTTTTGCCATTCTTTTAAGTTATAAAAATGCATCTTCTCCCYCATAAAAACTTCACAGCAAAATCTTGCATTTCTCTTTCAAATTGTTACAGAAATAGCTTGTCTCATCTTACAGCACTTTTGCTCTTGGGAGCAAACGGAAAACAGATATCATTGGTGTAATTGAAGTAGCTGCCAAATTTAAGACACTAATAATTCTGGACTAGAGCAGATACACAGTCTTATTAACTGAGAGAAAGTCCTCTAGGGAGCCACTGCCTGACTAACCGATGCCTTGGAAGAGGCTCTCTGAAGGCCTTTTAAAGCTCATCCTAGCCAGACCATAATACAACACCATGCAAGGCTTCAGGCGTGCAGAAAGGCATCCCGGGCAGCTTTTCTTTCCAAGAATGTCAGTAAAACAAGCAGCACAAACCAGAAAAAAAACCAAAAAGAAATCCCTACATGTGGCAAGGTTTAATAAAGAGTCCATGAACAGCATGTCCCAGGACAGGCCTCTGGAGACCATCTGCTCCATTCCCCTGCTCAAGCAGGGTCAGCCAGAACACGCTGCTCAGGACCAGTCTAGTTTGGCTGTGACTATCTCCAAGGACACAGACTCCACAACTTCTCCAGGCAACTGCTCAAMCACTCTCACAGCAGCAATATGTTTTTTCTATGTTCAGGTGGAATTTTATCAGTGTCTGTGCTTCTTGTCCTGTCACGGGGCACCACTGAAAAGTGGCCACCCTCACCTTCTCAACAGCCTCCTACCAGATACTCATGTGCACTGATGAGATCCCTCTGAGCCTCCTCTTCTCCAGACTGAAGTGTCCCAGCTTCCTCAGCCTTGGCCTCAATGCTGCAGTGCTGGCTCATGTTCAAAGCTATGGCCAGGTTTCTGGCCAGGAGGAAAATACTTTAAGGTGTCCAGCATTGAGAMAGTACCAAGGTGGCAGCTGAAAGCAGGTATGATGAAGCACTAATATCTAAACAGTCACTGCATGTATTTGCCATGACCATAATTTTTCTAATAAACTGTTTGGAAGCTGCTGGACAGTTCTTCCTTTGCTGTCTTTCAAAGGAAAGAGCAAATAATGAACCTACAATTAGTATCAAACACAAGTGTAACAACACTTGTAAAGATGTAAAGACTTGAAAAGAGCAGAAGTGTCAYAGTTGAAAAGCATCCCCATCCTCAAAAGCAGAAAAAGTTGAATTGACAGAAATCTCGCATCATATSGAAGTATCAACACCCTGACCTTGACATGTGGCAATATGCTCCAGAGTGAAGATGCATTAATTGGTAAGAGTCAAGTTATTGTTAAAGCATGTAATGAAAACCTGCAATTTAAACACGTTTTAAGAAAGACACACTAATCGAAGCTGGAAGTTACTACAGATTTGTGACAGGAGCAGACAGGTGATGGGACTGGTCTTGAGGGGAAAAGCAAGACGTGAATGAATGCCGAGAGAGACAGAAGAAAAAGAAGGTCTCAGTTCTGAGCTAACACCGAGACGCTCATCAGGCATAAAGCTACAATTTCAACAGTCTGGGATAAGTAGTATTCTTGCCCATGGAAAAATTTGTTGCACAGTCTGAAAGAGTTTTTTTTTTTTTTTTTTTCTGTTTTTAATTAATACATGCAAAACATATGTAACTACGCTCCTAATACAGAGTTCTGCTGTGCAGAACACAAAGCCCTGAGCTTTAGCCAACGAAAGCAACTTATAAGTTTACTGTGCAGTTAAAATCAATTTGCGTCATCCTTGATCCTTAGATGCTTTATCGGCACCTGAACATGGTTATTTTAGGTGTACAGTAGGTTTGTAGATCAAACTCTGTTACCAAGCATACCACTCCTCCTTATGTAGTTAAGAGCAACTATGTAGCAGGAATACAGATACCACCCACAATTTGTGATATCTATGTCATATTATGATACAGTATTAAAAACTCTGGTTCTGCAATTATAATATGTATTGATACTCAGTATTTGAGTACTGCTACTTGAATACATACATGGATCCCTACAGCTTGGCAGTCAGGCATAGACTATGCACCAATAAATAAATAATAAAGCCCTATGCACCAATAAATAAATAATAAATAAAGCCCCCAAGAGAAGCTTGTTACTACAGCTTATTATTTCTTTCAGGTTTATATTCAAGGATTAGGACATTCCCTCAGAGCAGTGGAACAGCATTCCTGTAAGAGATGGGAATGGAAAGGGCCAGCAAACCATTTTGCAGAGGAACTGCTCCTCTTGGTGCAAGAAGAGACTTCACTACTGAGAACACCCAGAAATACATGGGGCAAGTGCTGCAGGTTTCCTTTTTTAAAACCTTTCAAGGTTAGGCATGCAGCCCACAGTGGAAGGATTTACCTCAGCAATAGCCTTCCAAGTTGGGCAGCTATAGCAGAGAAATCCTTGAGCACTTCACRTCATGCCCCTCGCCTACAATCCCCYCTAAAATTGGCATCCAAACTGGCTCACAATGTGTAAAATGCTACRCCACTGTAGCATTTTACCATGTTACCTGTACAAGAGAAGTGAACCCAGAACTTTTGCTGTCCAGCACAGTACCCTAACCCCTGGGCTACGCTCTATTAATTTGGGACTTCTCTTCTAAGCCAGGAAGGCAATGTTTATGGTTTCCCCAATTCCAGAAGAGGTTTGTTCAAACAGCTAGAAAAGAGCCTGCAATTACTAATTCACAGAACATTAAATTAAATGGATTAAAACTCCAAGAAACCTTTTTATTTTAGAAGAATTCCCTCATTCCCTCCAAATCCTTTTCAGTTTGAARTGGGAACATACCCTTTGCCTAACAGTCTTGTTGCAAGTTAACCTCGAGCTTTAGGCTCATGAAGATCCCAGCAAAGTTCAGGACTGCTAGGCAGCAGCTRGATGAGTATTGCTTAGTGAAAGAATTTTCTGTGGTTCTGTGGAGTCCCTACCTAAAAGCTGGATTTGTCAAATCAAGGTGGATTTTTTTCTTAGTTCAGCAATGCACGACAGACACTAGCAGCTATTGCACCTTAGTGCAATGAACTGCCTCCAAACTCATGCAATGTGTTAGTGCATAGCAGGTAGAAATCACATTCCTATCTTCAAGTCTGAATGCAGGCCTGTGGATTTTAGACACTGTATTATGCTACCATCTGCTGGTTCACAGTAAACCTCTGAACTTCCCCTTCAGCTTCTCCCCCAACACACTTCAAAAGCCAACCCACCAAAAATACTGTTCCTATACAGATGCTTAAAAGTACTTTTTTTTCTTCCCTCCCCCACAGCAAAATGTTAATTTGAAGGTTTTGGAAGAAATGTCACAAGCTGTTTCACAGTTCTACTTTAGTTTCTCTTCCCCGGCCAGGTGCAACAGCAATTGTTACAYGTGGTCAGAATACTTTCAAAGATGCACCAACACACTCATCCATTCATTTACTTACATTCGGCTAGTTTCAATGGTTTCAGAGTGAGGTTCTCCTGGTGATCTGCAAATACAGATAAAATAACAAACAGTGCTTCAGGTTTTAAGTCACTAAAATAGGAAGAGCTAGGAAAAATAAAAAATAGCAATATATTTATTTACATTGCTACTAAAAACATTACTTTTCATGCGTTTACACATTTAACTTGTTTGACAAAACTCCAGAAAGTACATCGTATAACAGAAAACCTGAGAATAATAATAGAGAAATTTGACTTAAAAAGGACAGTGTTTTTCCACAGCTTACATGAAAACAGCTATATCAGGAGATTTCTGCTGGCAGTACTTCCATATTCAGTTTGGACAGTGCACCAGTTCTGGGCTAATTCTTCATAACCACGCCTGTAATCATAAGGTATGCTGAARTTTATCAGTGGTCAAGTGTTTAAAACAGAGATCCTTTACACAGTTGGGCTCTATGAAGAAGGAGCTCAGAAGCAGATCTCAACAGCATCTCAAAACAAATTCCAGGTATTTCTCTCATTATTCTAATTTCTGGACACAGGAGAGTCTCACAGAGCAGTTACTGGGAGAGAGCAGAATTACAGACAAGTTTCTGTTTCCTCATTCCAGCTACTGCCATGCAGACAGGTATTGGCTGCTAGTATTTCTGAACAGCAGCTGTGCAACAGTTTGTTTACCCCTTTTGATTTAATTTACAGAGGAATTTGGAGGATGAAGTTCCATATTAACTTAACCAGGTTAAATTACAGTGGTTGAACTCCTCCTTATCCCTTCATCTTCCTTGTGTGGGAATGGGGGTGGTAGTTAACATTTACTTTTCTGGTGGATTAAACTTTTTCCTTTCCTCTGGACATCCCCTCGCCTAGGGAGCTTTCAGCCAGAGCAGAGTCCAGATCCAGGAGATAGGGCAGCAGTTTTGACTTCAATCACCTTAACTGCCATGAAATTAGATCATAAAGATCCTTACGTGGCCAGAACTGCTACACTGGATGCTAATTGTTTGAAGGGTGGAAATACAGCACAGCCCTAACAGTAAAAACTGTGGCTTACAGGAACAAAAATACCTTTGATGACAGCTTTTTCAAACAGAAATGAGCTAACATCTACAAGGAGAACCCGCTCCGCAGCAAGTTCATCTTGGTTTCTTTTAGAGGACTTTGGTTAGCACAGAAAAGCTATGGCAAAGCCTGCTTAACTAGGGAAATTTGTTTACAGTAATTTCTAGATAGTTTTTAAGATTTATTATGTATCTGCGGTCACTCTTCTAAATGCTATTGGAAAGTTTCCACCTATATCCTGAATTACAGCCTCCACTCCTACACTTCATCAATTCCAGTTCTCTTATTATCTGGTCCCTGTTAGCAAAGGCTGAAATGTTCTCAATTTTTTCTACTTAATCTCAGTTCCTTTCCAGGTATAGCAAAGTGGGGTAGTTTTCTGTATTTTACAAAACTTTTAGCATTATGGCAACAGAACCAATGCCTAGAAGGCTTTTCTGGCAGACAACTTAAAAATCCATGCTAACTGGATACTTTGCAACGATGGAAGATGCAGGAAGCTATTTGTTTATATTGCAGTAAGTTACAGCATTCAGCTTGAGCAAGCGAGAACTCTAAACTTAGTAACCAACTACACTTACACTGGTGCTTAAAATGCCAGCACCATCTAAATAAAGAACAGCCAAAAAAAAAAAAAAAAAAAAAAAAGCACTCTGTTTTAAAAATCAGGCTCTATTACTCTCCCTCCAAAGAATTTTCCTCTTACTCATTAAAGTTCTGGAGTGATGAAACAGGTGCTGCCAAAACAACGTTGACACCAAAACTAACCAAACAATTTTCTTTCAACTCCTGTGACTGAAGCAGGTCACTAAATACTTCAGGAAAAGAGTTTTTTATTTCCCAGTCATCTGCCYAAGCACAGAAGTGCTGTTAACCGTGCAACCTGAGGAGTGGTGGAAGGGGTCACGTTCATACTGGCTGGCTCCTCCGGTCACATCCATGAATTAAAAAACCAGCGCGGAGCCAGCCTGGCAGGTCTAAGGCAGACTTCGTCTGCTCTGTTTTGGTCAAAGAAAGTGCATACCCGTGCAATTCTGGACAAAGGTAGCACTTTAAATATCAGTGGCAGAGCAATGGTGATTAAAGAGTGAAGAGTCTTAGGCACTTCAAGCCTTCACAACGCAGCCATATTAAAAAGACTCCACAGAATTAAGAGAGCAAACTGGCACCTTAGCATGCAAGGAAGGTTGTGGATAATCTGCAGCGCAGATATATCTACATCATTATTAGGATATCCAGGATCTTCTTCTGTCCCTGTAGTTTATGCGTGTTTTATCTCGGCTTGAATAAACAGTGAAGTTCAGTACATGCTATGCTGCAGACCACCAAGATACGTGGGAGACACYTTTAGGGAAGCTCAGAATAAAACCTGGCTGTGTGAATACAAGTTTGGACTTCCCAGATAAGTGGATGTATCAAACAAGGTCTCAAATTCCTTCAGCATTTTCTCTAAAATATGAGCAAATTCACTGTAAATACTATCTACAGAAATACTAAGCAACTCATTAGCTGTGTTTTAAAAGGTTTCAAACAATGATGTAAGCACCAAACAAAATATGACTTCAATATTCATTAAAAACACCACAGAAGTTCAGTCTACTTATAGGCATATACCTGTTTGTTGAGAAACTATTTATTCTTTAACATCCAATTGTTCACAAACCAGACACCGTGTTGTTCCTCTAAGCAAGCAATGGTGCCGAACAAACAATTACACAGTCTGGCTACACATGCCTTCATCTTGCTTAAAATCTGAAACAAGAGTTCTGTTCAGAGAAAAATCTCAGAGCAAATGCTCTTACAAATTTCAGCTTTGATTTGGATCGTAGAAACTGATCACGAGACACCAACTAATCTGAATCCTGCAGCATGAGCTAGCAAGTTCAAATGGTGGCTCACTTCCAACAACACAGGGAGCAACTTCTCCATCCTGCAAGCCACTCCTTTTACCTCCACTGTAACTCCCTAGGAGAGAAAAGTAAAGGTATGCAAGTCTGCGGATTTGAACATCAGCAAGCCTTCTGGACAAATTACTTTAAAACAGCATTTAACAAACCACTTAAGTAGGCATGTTAAACATTTCGTACAAATTTAGTGCTGCAATAAGATTCATCAGAGAGTCTTAAGTGGTGATTTACCTCTGAGAGGGATACTGTGCAGCAGCAGGGTGCTCGTTTTTAAAAAGCAAGCACAGCAAAGCTAGGCGAGCACTGAAATAAATAACTCTTAAGCAAATAATAACTTTGCCAGCTGACTTATCTTACCCAAACAATCTAATTTAATTCTACTTACAGAATTAACTTCAATTCATACAAATAAAGCACTTTTAACATTAAATATTATATTAAAAATCACGTCAGAACTACCACGATATGTTTGTGCTTACCTTTTACAAGCTGTGGCCATTCGGTGACATCAGGGTGATCACAGTTTTGAGTCACGGATTAAAAACAAGTTGTCACACCAGTCCTGTCTCACGCTGGGCTAAGCATAAGCTTAACAACTCTAAATAATTAAGAATAACTTTGTTAAGTCCTTACAAATAAATAATTTCCAGCCAGTTAATTGAATAAAAACATTACAGAGGAGTAAATACTGCTGTTAAAAAAAACCAGTAAAACTGTGAAATTAAGGTTCAGTTCACAAAAGTTTGTTCATTTTTGAATGGCATTTGATAAATTCTGCCAGAAGTCACTACAGTGCACAACTGCTGAGCTTGCTTTTAGTCTCTTCCAGAAAAAAAACAAAAGCACCACACTCCTGGACAGAGGAAAATATCTGAGACCAGACAGAGAGCATCCAAAGATTTGCTAACACATATAAATATGAACTGCAAGTTCTAACTACAGTATGATTTGATAAACTGTTTCTGTTACAACTCAATTAATAATGTTTCCCAATGAGACCGTTTTGGAAAGGGAGCAACACAGAAGCAACTCTGCTGTCCTTGGCCAATCTTCTGCAGCAGGTGCTCCGTTTACCTCCCTGCCTTTCTCCTCACCCCTGCATTTTCAAAAGGAGGTTTTACCTGTCAGTTCTTCCCTGTGATCTGGTTCCACTGGTATAAATGGAAGGGTTGGTCCTTTGTCACACAGGTGGCACTCAGTGATCACCCAGCAGTGCTCCTGCCCAGAGCACTCGGGGACCACCCCAGCTCATGGCTTCCATGGCTGAAAAGGAACCAGTTAGTCTCTTACCTACTGCTATTATCTACTCTAAACTGCAGCTAATTGGTCAAATGCTTGCAAATGTAACCCTCAGCACTCTGTATCGCCCTAATCTCTCTCCTGCCCAAGCTCCAGGTGGCCTGGATAAGGACTTTAAAGAGCAARTCTTGTGATGGAGTCAGATCAAAATCAGCGTTCTTCCCTTTCTGCTCATATAAAGTTTTAATTGAATTGAAAWATTAATAAACCACATAGCAAAAAAGAAATAGTAGTTATGAATACAGAACTCCATATAACATCTAAGAATTGTATTTCTGTGGCTTGGATAAGACACTAATCCACAAGTTGTGAGGAAGCAGCAGCCTCCCAGACCAAGGTAGAAGGAGGTTAGAGGGCCAACACTCAGCTGCCCATCACCTGCAGTRGCGCTGACCTGGGGCAAATACTAAGTGAACACACATGGCTCCTACCAGCAACCACACTTTGTGATTCGGTCCAACACGTCACAAGGGTCTTTCCAGAGAGGTCTTGGGTTTGATGAGCAATCCAGCCCTCTCAKGGCTAATTTCCATCCATTATTTCAGAGATCAGAAATCCCTCAACAATTAGTGTGATCTTCAGTTCTCCAAAGTTTTCTGGAGTAACTTAACTGGCTTTTGGCATTCTGCTACATTTTACCATTCTGCTACAGAAGCTCTGCATCTCTAAAACGGAATGATATTTGTATTAGTTTTCAAAGAATCATAGAATTCTTAAGGTTGGAAGAGACCTCTAGAGATCATCTACTCCAACCCCCCTGCACACACACAGGTCAGCTAGAGCACGTGGCACAGGGTTTTCAAATAATAATTATTAGTTTTTCTTGATTATTATAGGAAACAAAAAGAGGGAAGCAGGCTACTGAAATCCTCTTTGAAATGGAGGTTCTTTGGTAACTATGTTTTACAGGTATAAAGCGTCCAAGTTTTCACTGCGAGAAGCAATATAAGGGATAAGATTCCCCATCTGCCAAAACCAGATGTCAGACAAGGTTAAGATCTTCAAAGCTATGTTTACTGACCATAAGCAGTATATAGAAGCAAACAGCAAAACTTAAGATTAATGATGCAAAGAAAAACCATTACAATATTGTTTATGGCATTCCGGCACTTCAGGATATGAAAATATCCATTATCCCATAAACTGTTAAAGAAACAGATTCCTATTCTGAGACAGTGCCTTCTTCTCCTAAGTCCAACTCCTTCTTGCTGCTTTCTGAAGAACTGATGTGAAATGCCTCCCTAAAAATGCAAGGGGAAGTTAAAGCCTCTTCTAGCTCTTTGCTTAACTTTTAGTGACCTGGCCAAGGAGGTAAGTGGTACAATCTCCGAAGTCTCACTGAGTGTTGGGAAACCTGCATCCTTATTGCTCCCAATGCGAGGCAATGTGCACTGAATTCCCCCTTGCTCCCTAACACAACTGTGGCCCATATCACCCAGGCCATGAAGAAAAATGTTAGCTAGAACAGTCTTCAATTCAACTGGAAGCACAACACACAACTGGAAGAACAACAGGCTGACAGCAACCTCAGTAAAATATGGTTTTCCTTATGGCATTTCATGCATAAGGAAATAAATCATGAAGACTGTCCACAGTGAAGGAAGACACAAAATGCTGGTACTGGTTTCAAACACCATCAGATTTTGGAATGCTAAAGAACATGCTTTGAGGTGACAACTCCAGTCACTGCCAAGGTAGGTTTGTGCCAAGGCCTGACACAGACCCAGCTGCATTAGTCAGACTTCGCAGACCACCCAATATGGAATTTACACCAGCTGTGTGAAAACACACAGCATCTGAACTAGTGTGAATCTTACCAAGTTGAAACTAACCCATTCTGTAATAAAATTTGCATCTACAGATTGAATTTATAGCGGAACACAGCACTGAATCACGCAGCTTCACCATTTTTGATTTGTTACAATAGATCTTCAAACTAAATTTACTGTACTAAGGTTTAAAATCTCTTGGTACCTTCCCAGAGCACAGGTGCTCTGGCAGCAAGAAACCCTAATGAATCMTTTTTCCTTCTACATCTGTCATTCTGTCTTTCCCATCTATCCTTGCTGCATGTCCTTTGGGACAAACCACATTACGTGGTGCTTCCTTTGCGTAGACAAATAGTTGCTTTTCCCCCGAACTTTACTCATTTACCAATCAGAAGAATACTCTGTGCCAAAAGAGACTGGCATGTTGAAGCAAGTGGGGCAGCAGACTGCCAGAAGTCCCTTATTAGGAAAATGCTGATTGAAAGAAATACCCGGATCTAAACAAGAGTGAGAAAAAAAAAAAATACTGGTAAAAGAGTCATGGGACACTGCTTGACCAGGAAAGGGAAACTAGACTGATCAACTAACATCCTGCAAAAGAGCAYTGAAAGGAACAGGAATCTGACCTAACACAGCTGTATTCTGTGTGGTTATTTTGGTCAGGGAAGTTCCTTTACATAATCCCTGAACGTAACTTACTTTCTAGAAGGTAGGCTCTGGACACCAAGACACTAGCCAGCCCAAGGGGAATAACGGTGTGTTCCTAACATTYAGCGTAACATTCAGAGTGAGGAACAGAAGAAATGTTTAGGAAGTTAACAAGACAACACTACTTCCTTCAAGATGACAGAGGTTTCCAGCAGGAATGCTCCTATCAACTGCAAGGGAGGCAAGAAATAAATAACCAATGAGAAAGAGCAAGCAGTCAGAAACCAGGATCAGTTGCTTCCAAAGGTGCTAAAACCAAGCTGCTGCACAGCCTTTTTACATGACCTTTTTACATAATTCATTTAATCTTAGAAGTCTGGAAAACCAAACAAGKACCAAGACGACCTGTCCCCGCTCCAGCATCAAGGCACAGAATCCAAAGCCACAYCATGGAGAAAACTAGACATATTTGTCAGCTTTCAAAAATAAAGCCAAAAAAAATCCAGCTACAAATCAATTGTGACTGAAGGTTGTGAGTTGTTGTCCTTGTGTTAGGTACAGGTGGTCATTACTGGTGACAGAGCAGTTCTGGCAGCTGACGCTGAGTATCCAAGGTCCAGAAAAATCCTTGAGCTCTTCAAAATAAGCTATGACTTCTTCTTGGTGGAGTGGATGCTTCAAGAGGTGGCATTTTTAAGAGCTTAAGTTTTCCACCCAAGTAATCTTTGAAAACAATCCTTCTGACAGCAGATCTAAAGCAAAAGAGCTTGATTAACTCGGCACACAGAAGTACTGTGTCCTCACTTTTCAGTGACAGAATTTAATTAAAAATAGCCATCTCATGAAAATAYTGCTGTATTTTTGTCTTTGTATGTGTGCTGAAGAATCCCTCTGGAACCCCCAGGAATGATGAAGCAGTCCTCCAGTTTGATACATTTCCAGAGTGGCTTTGAATAGCATGATCGAAAGGACGGTCACCATCTTTATRGCAAGAGGTACCTTCAGAACTACCTTAGATCATTTACTCCTCCAAAAAGGGAGTTGCTACTAGTAGGAAAGCTGTATATCTTGAGATGGATACCATCAACTATCCTATAAGAAACTGTACAATATCAATCAAATCCCTAACAATTTTAGCCAGGGGGAGGAGGGACGGGTTGCAGAAGAAATTAATAGATATGTTTGGGGCCTGTAATTCTTGACAAGATTTGAATTATTTGAAAAGCTTCTATTGCCTGCATCATGTTCCCAGCACAGAAAGCCTGCAAAGACTTGACAAGACTCCAGAGGTTTTCTGAAGAAAACTAATAGGTCAAATTATCAGTGATCTCAAAGAAAACTAAAACTAATAAAACCCGAYTATATAAGTCCTAGTGAAGCTAAATAATAAAAAAAAAAAAAGCACCAGTGGTAGGGAGAAAACACTACTTGGTAAGCCAAATCCATTCAACCTTAATACTTTCAAAACACAATATGAAGCCATACAAGTAGAAGATCATAAAAACAGGGATCTACCCTGAAAAGTGCTAACCAGAAGTGACTTAAGGCAGGCACAATGGATAAATGAACCCAAATGCATTCCCAGTACTGTAGTCAGAATGACAAACCCAATACATGAAGAGTTTCTGGAAAGGTATCCGTCCATCAGCACAAGGCACTTGAGCTCAGGTCTCCAGTTACTCAATATCCTTCAGAAACATTTCAGAAGCACCAGAAAAGAGCCATGAGGACAGCATGAGACTGGAGCAAGCACCTCGTGGTGAGATAATGAGAAGAGTTCAAAGTTAATCAAGCTAAAAAATASCAGTAGCAGAAGAACCTAAGTCCTTTTGCAGCACAGGAAGAGCACACTAAAACATTTCTTCACTTAAAAAAAAAAACTATAAAAAGTATATGAAAGACTGGAAACTAATCACAGCACAGCGAGGACAATTAACACAGGAATAAGTATTTGGGAGAGGGAATTTGAATTTGCTACTGCTATCACAAAATCAGCACTRGTGGCATTGCAGAATTCAGACTTTAGTGAAAACTTCTGAGATTAACAAAGACAACATATTTAATAACTTTCAATATACAGGGATCAACTATATCTYTCCATAAAGTCTTTTCTTCACAGCATCTTTATACTTGCTTCGCCTCAACACTGTGAATTATATAGTGACAAGGCCCACTGTTCACTYCCCATTCATAGAATCCTTAAGGTCWGAAGGGAATTTAGACCTCTTCAGGGAGCTCTTTAAACTTTAGGGACCTTAGAGAGGACTTTTAGAGATCATTCAGTCCAACTCCCCATTGCTTTTCTAAAGCTAAGGGCTTGTGTTATTCTCATCTTCTGCAGTTGCCCTTTGCTCGTCTTTTGCAGCAGAGCAATTTGTTTCAGTGACGCTTCCTACTTTGACTTCCCTCATCCTGATACAGTGATGAACAGAAAGCCCCTCCTGTATCAGATGGTGAAATCCAACAGTCCATTGAAATTTCTGTTAGTAGCCCTGCTTTGTACTGGATAASCACCAAGCTGACTTTCCAAACAGAAAGACTATCCAACTTCACCTCAGCTTTTACATTTAAACTTCATTTTCATCTGCTTTTTTCCCCATCCCTGCTTACTTTGCTTTCTTTTCCCACCCACTGTCCATGTAGTCTTCCATGCAAAGTGCCCTCCTGTGCACCTGCATATTTCTGCATATATAGTTCATATTAAGACCAAACAATCTTACAATCCTGTACCATAATATTCTACCATTCCATTAGTATTCATTACTCACATGGGGTGATTAGAAGGGGATTCTTGTCCACTTTGCTTGGCAAATGCACACAATTAAAAAAGCTATACATGTATATACATATATACACACAAAGKGGCAAGTAGTTGAACACCCAGGGGAAGAAGAAAAAAAAAAGCAAACAGCAGAAATAATGGCAACAAAAAATAATGGCTAAGTTTAAGGAAGAGCTGCTGTACACACAACTGGTAGTGAAACTGGACAGTAAGCAGCAGGTAGGTGGTCCCGGGGGTGCTGTGGGTGCAAAAATGAGAATACTACCTGCCAGATACCTGCYAGAGTAAAGGACCAATCTATACAATTCTTTCAGGAACATCTGGATTATGATGATGTAACAGTGTGGCTTTCAAGAAGATTTACAGATTTCAATCGGCATACCCTATTGCTAAAGTTGAGGTTTAAGTATTCACTATTTAAGCTCCCTTCTATAGCTTTCTATAATATGGAATTCAAAAAAAAAAAAAAAAAAAAGGACATCCCCAGCGAGCCTTCTGTAAGACTGAACTTTCAAAACTTTAAATAGATTCATGTGTTAGGTATCTACAAAAGACACTCTCTAAATTGGCCAAGTATAGAAGCTGCATCAGCGGTTACTAAATACTTTTCACATTTAAAGTACAAACATCATTTAGAAGCTTTTGAATTAACTACATATTTTATGTGCAGTAACAGACCTATTTCAGACACTAGGAAAATCTGAACTTGAAGAAGAGTGTTTTTGAATGGAGAAATTCAAAAAGCTTTCGACAGCTCTCATTACGTTTTAGAGCTTKTCTGAAGTTAAGAGACATTATGGAGTGAAGCACATGTTTCACCCGATAAATAACTTCATTAGACTCTCTTGGTGTAAGGTTAGAATGCAAGAACTAAAGTAACTGAGAGTTAAGGTTTATAATCTTGCTATAAGGCATTGTTAAGTTGGCTGGACATTTAACAACATGAAGAGAAACCATGTGCCCATGTTAATGCTGCTAATGAGAGTTACATTTCTGTTATCTCCCAAGATTTCAATTTCCAAAMTGATGTTTGCTTCAATTTTCTAGCAGACAAGTCTTCCAAATTACGTTCAGAACTAAAATTTGTACAAATATGACTGTACATGAACTAAAAATTGTAAAAATATGTCCAGTAGCAAAGAAAACACCTTCCCAGAAATACCACTGATCCTTAGCCAGTGAATAAAGAAACAGATGAATGACAGTAGCATGATACTGAATTTGTAAAACAAATTAACATGTATCAGTCACCATTTATTTTGACAAGAATATCAAAAAACTCAGGTTTCAGAACTATTCTTACCACTAGCGCATTACAACTGAAAAAAAATGGGAGAAATGAACATGCAAGTTTCCCTTTAAGTTTGGATTTTTTTTTTGAAAGGGCAAAAGTGTAATTATTTGTACATACATGATTTATAAATGAAAATATAAGCATACCATATTTTTCCACAGCTGCATAAGTTTGTTCTTCCAGATTCTAAAAGGATCTTCTACAGTTCTTGTACCTGAAAGGCAAAACACTACACTTCAGTTTTTGCACCATATGCTCCTTACCTACCTGAAACTTCATATGACTTCAAAATTATATATTCAAAGTGGCCATGCAATTAGTTGCATTCAACTAGCAGCAAATTCTTGCTATGAGAGCAGATAAAACACTTAGCATGTTAGGGAAGCTACAAAAGCAGAAAGTCCATAAGCACAATGTTCTTCCTCCTTCCCTAGTGAGGTAATGCACTTGTATTATTCCATTTGTCCAGTTTCTGCCCCTTGCTTATTAATATCCATTTCTTCTAAAAAAGTTTGGCAACTCTCAAAACAAAAGTTTGGTTCCTCTCTCTCGTCTTATTTTTAAGGCATCAGCAGTTATAATACGGAAAACATTCAGAGGAAGCAACAGAAAGAACCATACTTCTGTCCTGGCTGCACAAAACTTTGAACCTTGTCTTTCTAAGTTCATTTTTAGAGGAACCATAATTAACATGGGACTTGAGCCCAAAACACACTTCAAATATCTTAACGAACAATTACGCACAATTGATTTGAGGGTTTTCATATAAGGGAATAAGTGACAGAGAGCCCATCAGACAGAACACTATCCTGAACTGACACAGTTGCGCCAGCAACACTCCGTAGCACGAACAGTTCATACACAGACATAATTTTTCATGTCAAAGACAAGTGTAACCTATCTGTCCTATAAAATAAGATTCCTACTTCAACCACTATAATAATTACATGGATTTATGCTTATTTAGGATTAGTGTTATACAATGTGTCACTAAACTATTATCACCATWTGGGGGAAGATTGCTTAAAGTATACGAGACAAGGTAACTGGAGATTTTCCTGCAAGGAAGTGGTATTACCACTTCATGGCAACAGTAGAAATCCAAAGGATCTATCTAATACTGTAGTCTAGTAACAGCATTAAAAGTATTATAAATCACAAGATAAAATGAGTAAAAAGTATCCTGACAAGTATGACCAATATGCTTGCACCTTATGCCACAGGACTTCTAGCTTAAAATACGTGATCTGCATAAAATTCACACGTTCTCCACTAAGCTATGAGAGCGCCAGCTTTGAGTGCACACAGAGTGTGAGGAAAGCACTATGTACAGCCACAAACAGCATCACAGAAACATTTATGAGGGTCCTTGAGGTTACTGTCCAGCCATAGAAGAAGAGACAACCAAGGTTTCCCCCCAACACACCTGAAGTTACCTATAAGCAAGCATAAGCATTCACTGTGAGGGTGCCAGAGCCCTGGCAGAGGCTGCCCAGGGAGGCTGTGGAGTCTCCTTCTCTGGAGATCTTCCAAACCCGCCTGGATGCTGCCCTGTGCTCTGGGTGTCYCTGCCAGAGCAGGGGGTTGGACTAGATGATCTCTAGAGGTCCCTTCCAACCGAAATGATTCTGTGATAAGACAGTGACTCCTGCATCACACTTTACAGCAGAAACAAGACCTCAGTGGAGGAGCTGGAACAGACCATTTGTTTCACAATTTGTTATTACGTGACAGTAACACAACAAACCACAGACTACGCAGTGCTTGGGGAACTGGCATGAAAACAGGTTCTTGAAACAGAATCAATTTCAGCATTCATCCCTAGTAACTTTATTATTATTATTATTAGCAATAAGCCACATCTTAAAGATGCTGCAAACGGAAAGGCTTGAGTAAAGGTATGGCTAACAGCATTGCTTCCTCTCAACACAGAACACCCTTCGTCTGCCACATGACCAGAACCAAAAGTAGTGCCTTTAAATCAAAAACAAGCCCCTCAAAACTGTCTGACATTTTCAGTAACAAAAGACTTCCAAAGCTTATCATGCTGAATGATTCTGTAGTTTATCTCTGCTAACRTCAATCAAGCAACTCTAGTGAACAGAACCAGAAAAGATTTAAAAACAATATATAAGTTATGAAAAATACTTTGTAACTCACACCCCACCTGACGAAAGACATTAAAAAACACTTCTATCAGGAGTTTGGATGATCTTTTTCCAGAGGGAGAAGAGAAAAAAGTTTTTCTAAAGGGTAGGCGTTTTGCCTGGGATTATATGCCTTCTTTCACAGTTTCAAAATAGTTAAAATAGTAATCATTTTGACTCTAACCCTGTTCATTTTCCATGACTGACATCCTTAACATGGCAGCTCATTAGTCAAAAAATGTATTTACAAATACCCATTCTTAATACAATATTCAAGCGATAAGATCCATACAAATGGAGCATTACCACCATCTAACAAAGGAAAGAGCCCATCCTCTGCAACCAAGAAACACAGTAGTTTTGGTAGGGCCATAGGCTTTTAAGAACTCCTGTGGCCATAGAACTCGGGTGGAATTTGCAGCTTGTGTGGCTATAAAAACATATTTCTGCAAGCCACAATATGTAAATTCTGCTTCAACAGTTGAAGCAGCATCGAGATGCTGCTACTGATGGCAGCGCACACAAGTTTACCTTGGACTTCCTAATCACAGTAACCCATACTATTTGGCACCAAGACTTTGCACACTAGGATCTTCTATGAACTGAAATATGATAGGCAGTGTTTATCTCGCTTTGTGGAAGTTCACTCAACATTTAAGAGCACAAAACATACTACAGTGTAATGTCCATATATTCCAGCTCTAATGACCTCAAATGCACAACCCATGACGAGGCAAAAGCASGACTGCCACACCAGTATGGCCCCATCTCCTGAGGAATGCCAACCTGCAGCCCACCCGACAAGTGCAGCTGCTTTATGAGCCACCCCAGCACCACCTCTGGCTCCCAGCACTTGCAGATCCGCAGCTGCTCCGGCCTGGGTCCCACGGAGCATTCGGGAGCAGGAGCCTGGCTGCCTGGACATGCCTGGCATCTCTCAGCACCCTGCAGCTTGGCAGTGTGCTGCAGATAAGCTCTAGAGTTGCGTGCAGGAGAGGCACAAGAGGTAAGGGGGCCTCTGGTACTTTAATTGCTCTTTTCACTAATTTCATTGGCATAAAGAACACTGAGGAAGTATCAAGAAGTCCCCAAAGGGGGTCTGGGTCCTCCAAATAGAGTAAGATTCTGATCTCTCCTACGAGAGACTCCTAAGATGATGACGATGCAGCTTCACTTTGATACTCAAGCTCAGCCTTGCTGCAGGACAGCAGGAGTCTTGCTGCAGTCCTCAAAGGGCACAGAACGAAACACCGACCCCGTGGACTGATCACGGCGAGCAAACAAACGRAACACTAGACACCCTTCCAAGATTTTCTGCTTGTGATCCCACTGGTTCGTGCCCACCAGCGCGGCATTTCTACCAGGTTTGAAACTCACATATTTCCAACGTTTGATGCAGTTGCTTAAGGCATAGTCCGTGAAACCACATCCCGAATAAAGGATATTGAGGATGAAGATGCTGAATATCTTCTTTGCTATACCTACGAGCAGAGAGCAAGCAGCACCTTCCACGTTAAGCAGCTAAGTGGTGCATCACTTCAAATTTGTGCTAAAATGTCACTACTGCAGTTCACCTCGGGTGCCCTTTCACCGAGGATGTGCTATGCCMGATAAACATGATTCCTAAAGATTAACTACCTGAATGTGCAGCATTTTTTTAAAGTTATTTGTATGCAAACAGCTATGCTTTTTGATGAAAAGCCTTGAAAAGCTGTACAACAGTGAGGATCCCTTTCAAACTATCAGGTTACTAAGAAACTCTAATCCTCTGCTGCATTAAGTAGAATTTCCTCTTAAAATACATATACCTCTGTCCTAAGGAACTGCAGGTCGCTTCAAAATCGGCAGGTTGCTCCTCTTAGCTAACACAGTGGAGTGAGGCTGAAAAGGGAAGCCACCCATTTAGTTCCTCTGAGCTGAACAACTGCAGTTTCCCCTAATTCTTCACCGCCCTGCAAGACATGGATAAAAAAMCATGCAGGATGGTAACAGAAAGAGCAGTGGAAAAGACTGGTTTCCACCTCCTTCTTCCATTCAGTAGTTTGCATAACACAGGGAAGCAGCTCAACCTATTAAAAGAGTAGTTAATGCCTTCTTTGGGAGATTCATTCATAAGATGAGTATTTGTAAGGCACAACACTATAATAATATTTAATTTAAAATGTAGTTTTGCAATCAACAAGTTATTTTGTCAACAAGCTCTCTCAATACAAGCCACAAGAGGGTAGAACTATTGAAAAAGAGTGATTTAAAGTCTGATTTAGTCATGCATTGCTCCACCAAGAAGAAATCCAGGATCTAAATATACTTTCAAGTTTATCTTTTGTATTTCTACTATGAGAGTATTTTCCTAAAGAAATGCCTTCCCACCAGTTGGTATAGTTACTGAAGTACCAGTCAGTATAGATACCGAAGCGTTGCTTTTCTAGTATGTACTTACACTACTCTATCTGCACGCTCTGCTAGCCAGACAGATACTTGTAAATATATTTCTCATTCACCTGAACCAGCACCCTCCAAACCTGGGCTCGTGGGCAGTAATATACTGCCTTGTGACGCTGTCAGGCACTGCCTGCAAATACAGGAAGTCAATTCAGCAAAAGTTAAGATCAAAGTATTTAAGGTGACAAGAACAAAAGTCACTTCAAACATTTGATTTGCTTATTACAGTTGTCTACAGCAACTAAGTATTTAAGCAAAGCTCATAGCTTAAAAGAACAACAGAAAATGCACACACACCCTCATCTTTTCTCCTCCTTGCACAGGAAGAAAATGTCTTATTTAAAATGATCTGGTACAGCCCTCACAGTAAAGTTACTGCCCTGCTTATTCCATGTATCAATAAAACTTTGATGAATGATAGAAAGCTTTAAACACTGTTTCTTCACATAACTAAGCACTACCTTAATACATTGGATACTTCAGAAAAGCATTTTCCAGAATAACTAGAAGTGTATATAAAAACAAAAAAAAAAACAAAAAACAAACTCCTATTAAAAAAAAAGTCATATCAATTCAATAACTAAAGCTAAGTGAAGACATGGCCTGTAGTGACCAGAAAC